GTTTTAGTACATTTGTTGAATTTAAAAGCACTTATAACTATTAACCCGTTTACGAACGATTTCAAAAATTTACTTCATACACTTTATACTCCACGGAGTTAATCAATCACAAGGAAAGTAGTTAGCTTGGATGCCTTAAAAGGTATCTACAATTATGCGATTCTCTCCCTTGAAATGCAAAATTTTGCTTCAGGATTGGGTTACATCGACACCCGAACTAGTGATAGGGAGTGAAGTAGTTGAGTGTGTCGACCGCTTCACTTATCTTGGAAGTCTCATCAGCCCTTGTGATCTGGTGTGTGACGAAATCTCAGCACGGATACAGAAGGCTCGACTAGCTTTTGCCAACTTGCGTCATTTATGGCGTAGGCGAGATATCCGTCTATCAACCAAAGGACGTGTTTACTGCTCAGCAGTTCGTTCCGTCCTACTTTATGGCAGTGAAACATGGCCGGTAAGAGTAGAGGATATCCGTAGGTTACTAGTATTTGATCATAGGTGTCTTCGAAACATTGTTCGTATATCATGGGACCATCGAGTAAGTAACACAGTTATTAGGAAACGGGTACTAGGTAAGGATGGCAAATCAATTGATGAAGTAGTGAAAATTCATCAGTTGAAATGGCTGGGATACGTGTTACGTATGCCCAACCACTGACTGCCTCGACGTGCTATGTTCAGTGGTATAGGAGTAGGTTGGAAGAAAGCTAGGGGCGGCCAGACCAAAACATGGCACAAATCCATGAAGTCACTGACAAGTGAACTGAGTCATGTTGGTAGGTGTAGACTACCTGGTTGGGGACCGCGAGATGATAGCAACCGATGGTTAGAGACCCTGAATGACATGGCTCAAAATCGTTTGCAATGGCGCAGGTGCATCCACTCTCTGTGTTCTCCCAAATTCTAATCTTCTGAATTCTTCATATCCCTTTTTTCCTCTTTCCAAATTTATAATCTTTAAATAACATCTCCAAACCCTAATCTTCCCGACTACTGCTTATACTCTTATTACCTCTACCACTACGGGATTTGAATCGACAACTGCATCTCTGTGCTAATGTGGTGTGGCAACTCGAACTGATGCACGTACGTACGAAGTTCTTCGTTTTTACTGACTGATATACGAAAATAATCATACTGAAAAAAAACAAGTATTGGTTTACATAAGGATCCTAAAGTGTTTTATTGAGTAGTGCATCAGTAAAGTTCTGTTAATAAATGTACCGTGATAGATTGTCTGTACAATATTATAAATTATTCATCTCAAATATCAATGAAATTTAAAACATATTCCGAAAATAAATTGTTATTGCATAGTTTTCAATCATTATATGAAGTGTTGAATATAACTAAGCAAAGAAATCCTATTCGCTTATTGTGTTCAGCCATTGTGATCATGGTGTAATAATGGAAAACGTTTGTTTCAGATGAGTGATTTTTTTCATTATAAGTTCTCATGGCCTAAATAATTCGAAAATAATAACAGAAATTATGGTAATCCAATTATCAAACAAATAATTATGTAGTGCTGTTTCATTTCCACATCAGTTTATGGAACAGAGCAGAAATTTGGAAGCCTAGGTTATTCTGTATACTTCCATGCCGAAATATGGAATTAATTTTTATAACCATAATTTTGCTGTTTCTAATACTAAGAAAATTAAAGCATAAAATGTTTAAATTTATTTCAGATAAAGAAAATCAAAATTTGGCATGATAGTATTGCCCCACATTCAGGCTGGTTCTTGGATGAAGTAGTTGTGATTGATTATTTTCTCGGACGTCGATATGTATTCCATGTAAATAGATGGTTAGCTAAAAATGAAGCCGATGGACTAATATCATTAGAGTTACAGCCAACAAGTATCATTAACATAGAAAGAAGTAAGAAAAATTAATTCATCTTTCTTACATGTTAGTTATCTTAGTTGTGAACTTAGCTGTGATAATAAAGTACTGTCTTAAAACGTTTAAATTACTATCACATCAATTTTTTTATAATGCAGTTTTGACATGTAGAAGTCATTAAATAGTAGAGTACTATTGTAGTCAACACAAATGGGGAAAACTGGTAATATTTTAATACCAAATTACAGAGTTCTTTCATCAGATGTGGAAACCATATGTTCAGTAATTCATTTGCACATCCCCCATCTCAAACTTCATCGTCCCTTCATTGCTATAACAATTACTCTCTGTTCCCGTTCTCTTCAATTCTATCATACCAACCTTTTGCTACCAGGTTCTCCACATCCGATTGGTGTTACGTACTAGTTCTCTCTGTCGACATAAGTAGCATACACCATACCATCACCTCATAATTTGAAGAAGAAATAAATAAAGTCATGTTAATTATCTAGATCCAGTGATAAAACTGAAAGTCTATTTACCATATTCATTATTTTTTTTGTTTTCGTCTTCTAGTAATTTGTAGGCCATTGGACATCTGAAGCTCTCTGAATTACTTGAAGTTTACTTTATATTCATAAGAGCGCAATATTAATGTTATATGTTTATAAGAATCCTTAACTGTGTAGGCAAAAAATAAGTTAAATCGTATTAATATTCAGATTAGATGCTGACAAAAATTTCTCAACCCTATAACAGAAAAATACAGATACGCTTGAAAATAAATGTATCCTTGAAATAAACATTTTGAGTTTCTTATTGCACCTTCCGTTAAACACTAGAGTTATTAAAACGTGTATTTCTCTGGTAACCATGATGTAGCAAAATATCTGAAATTTTTTATCTATTGTACATTAAACTACAGAAGTCACAAAATAAAACTGCTTCTTTCTTATATTTAGTGATCCCATACGAAATCATTATATTCACTGGTGACAGAAGTGGAAGTCAGACAAAAAGTATTGTCACTGTTCAACTGTATGGAACACCATTGAAGAGAAAAACTGAAATTATACGATTGTCAAGAACACAACATCATTTCAAATTCGGTCAACCAGAAGCATTTCGTGTGAATAACTATTTTTGAAAACACTTTTTGAGTTATTTTTGTAAAATTTAAGAAGTTAGAAGTAAAAGAATAATATACTGATGACCCTGACTTGACGAATCAGAATCAAGATAAACCCTCATATATTTTGCGCAAAATTTAAAGCGCAGGGGGTAGATGACGTATATGCTATTATTAACAAAATGAAAATTGACAATATTTGGTTCTTAACACGATTGAAATAAATTAAGATATCTATTGTACCGTCGAAATTTTAATTAAAGATTATGTTGAAGCTGAATTACAAAATATACCTGCTCCTAAGGCAGATTGTGCGTTAAAGTACGTGATGCAACTCAGTGCGTTTTCAAGCGTGTTTAGTAAGACCAAATAGTATTCTCTCACTCTGACTCTTACTGTAAATCGCAACGTCAAATTTCATAAGATTGTAAACAGAAGGATGGCAAGACATTGTATTATGCCTGATATCAGTTTGAGATGAAAACTTCTACCCTACTTAGTGAATGTAACTCAACACTCCAGTTTAACTTTTGATACCTAAACCTAACACTTTTGCATAATAGCTAATGTCAGTGGGTAACGAGAATCCTAAATCATGATAATCCTAAATCTTAATATGTAAAATTGACCTTTTTCGTATATTAAGGGGGATTAATTGATAGGTGAGGTTAATTATTAAGATAAAAGCTGTTATTCCACTGTTATCATATTGCTTTAAGTTGTTGTTTTATAACTGTGCAGCGTTTCCTGATTGGCTGAATCACCCAAATTTTTTAGGATAGCATACTTCTACCACGTTTGAATAACTAATAGCATGTCAAGCAGACACAAAGTATTTCATTGTATTTTGCGCTAACTAATGGTGGGACCCGGAATATAAATTTTTCTTTGTTTTGATGTGATATTCGAATATATGAAATGTTGATAGATAGTTTTAGATTCTAGCATACATGCGTTATTATTGGACTAATTTCAACTCTTCTTATATTTCACCTAGATATTTGCACCCGATATTGGGCCTTTACAGAAATTAATAGTTGAACGTGATGGGACAGGTTTATCGGATGGATGGTTTTTAGAAAAAGTTCTCATAAGAAAGCCATCTAACTTCTTTCAAAAAATGAATCGTTCCCCAACAGTTAGCCCAGTTAGATCAGTAACGAGTCAAGTATCTAAAGGTTAGTGCTCTCAAGTATTTTTTCATGTTGATGTGTATAACATCTTAGTTTTGATAAGGGGTTAAGCTCTTAATGGCATCCAAGTTGTCAGGGTATCTGGTGTTGTTGTTCCTCACTGAATAACGTGTGAGCGTCCAATTAAATATATTTAGTCATTCAATGGAAATGGGAACATCGATTTATTTGGTAAGTAATGAAATACTTATCAAATTGTAAACGAGAACAACAAAGTCCCTACAAGCCTACTAAACTTACAGTCAGTTTAATTTCTAAGGCTGACTTATGTTAGTCTACACATATCAAGTCTGTACAACAGATTACATTTTAATGTTTAACTAAAACAAAACAATGTCTGGTAGTGGAAGTCATATCATAAAAATAGTTTTTACCACCAAAATAGTACCACCTAGAATAGTTTTTTAAATATAGGCAGGAATGAATACCTATTCTATCGTAGCAAAAAAATCCGTCAGGAGTAAGTGAAGTCAGTTAATGTATTACGCTGGTTTGTGTTCCAGTTTTATAAGTGTCGCCTGAAAATAATCAGTTGTACAGAATATAGGGTCGTTGATATGTTTTAAAAAGGAGTTTCAAACTAAGGGATATTTGATGTTCATTCAGTTTTTATTTACTATTCATTCAAGATAAAACCGATCACCAAATTAATCGCATGATACCGCAAAAAGGTTCTAATCAGTTAAATGTTCCACAAACTGATAAAAATCTTGATGGTCCACCATCTATAATCTCCGTCCCTGAAGAAATAAAAGATGCAGAAGGAGCTGAAAACTATTGGTTCTTTTTCAATGCTTGGTTGTCCAAACAATATGATAATAAACAAATGAATTGTGAAAAGTTTTCTTCCACAGAAAATGGCAAACCTTTACAAAGTCTTATGGGTAAGCTTAACTGAATAACACTAAAACTAGTTTGAATAACATTCCTAAAGATAAAATTTCCAGTGTATAGAAAGTATTATTATTACTAATTTAATAGTTGAATACATCAGTCAATTGAAGCTAGACCACCATGGAAAACCTGGAAGCACTGGACGGCCGCTTCCTCCTATTATGGGACTCCTCAGCAGTGCGTATCTACGATCACGCCTAGTGAGACTAGAACTCAGGACCCACCAGTCCCACGCGCGAGCGCTTAACCACTAGATCATTGAACCGGCATCCAACTGTGGTAATGCCCAATTTCTACCGATCCACTTCCAGTGCTTCCAGATTTTCCATAATGGTCTAGGTTCAATTGACTCATGAATTCAATTAATAAACTATTATGATATCCACAACAAAAAAATCCCTTCTTTGATTATTATTATTATTATTACATCTTAAATCATCCAGAGCATAATAATATCCACTTCATAAGTGTTTAATGTGTGTTAAAATCATTCAGATATAAATTGGTATATAGGTTGACCAAGCGATTACAATGACCATACAAGTAAAACGTTACTGTGAATCTAAATCACCGATTAAAAAGAATTATGACAGTTATTGTATAAACTCTAAGCTTAATTAGATGAAATGACTGTAAGTTTGCCTATGTTTTCTAACTCCAATTCGTCAACTAAATAAATGGTAAAGATATATGCTTAAAATATCTTTCGGATTTGTCACTGTGCCAGTATGAAAAAAGAAACACGATTATCCATCTAGATGATTACTATTAAATAACTAAAAAGGCATATACTCAACAAAATGTCTTTCTTTCTTCTTTTAATTAACAGAGTCTTCTTATGAAGTCATTGTAAAAACTGGTGATCGTAAGTATGCAGGTACCGATTCACATGTTTATTTAACATTGTTTGGAATAAACAGTGAATCAAAAGAATATCATTTAGCAAATTCAAAAACTCATAGCAACAAATTCGAACAAAATCACGAAGATATATTTAATGTAAGTCTCTTCATAAAATATTCGCATAATTTCATACTAGTTCATCGCTATTGTAATTGTTATCAAATAGTAATACGGTATAGTTCATCGTTTTCAACTGGAACTATTAAAGCCCACTTTATATTAGTGACTTTTTGTTTACATTATAAACGTTTATCATACATTTGAACAGATTATTTTCTTAAATATTACTGTAATACAATCAAGCGAATACTTTTTCGAAATCTTAGGTTGCTCATATTTCATGGAAGTAGTGAAACGAAAATTTCAGTTAGGTTTTCAGCAATTTATTGAAATCAGGAAGATCAGTCTGTTAGTGATAGAAACTGTAAATTCATGTTTTCTAAGACAAAAGATTTATTTTTTCAAGCAAAATTATAAAATAATAAAATAATGTTTAGAGGATTAATAAAGTAAAAAACGTATTAACGTATTAAAGTTCCAGTATGAAGTACTCGAAGTATACTTTGGATATAAGTAGTTTTATTAAATTGAAACATGTTGAGTAGTTTCAATAACGAAACGGAGTCTGTTATTAAGCATTTAGATAATATCCAATACAAGTTATCACATGAACATATAATGTAGTGAAAATATGCACACGTTTTCTACTGGAAAGTCATCAGTATTATATATATATATATATTAAGTCTTCGATTCTTTACTCTTTACATAAACTTATTATTTATACTACATTGGTTTCAGCTAAATGCAATAGGTTTGGGGTCATTAAAAAAGGTTCGAGTACGACATACCAACACAGGTATCGCGCCCGGTTGGTTTTTAGATTATATTTTAATTCGTGAAAGTATTCAACAAAAGAAATTGGAATATTTTTTTCCTTGCTATCAATGGTTATCTGCTACAGAATTAGATGGTTTGGTTATTCGGGAACTTCCTGTTGCCTCAGAAAATATTTTTGAAAGGTGGAAGTCTGGCCATGATATTTTTGACGATTCAAGACTTATTCTAGAAGGTTTGTTTCAATTTACATAATAAATTGAGTTTAGACATATCATTCAGTAATTCACAACTTTTAAACCAAAGAATATCTAACAGGGTTTTGCATAGATAAAGAAAATAATGATGAAACTGATATGGACTAAACGTACTATTTATATTCAGTTCTACTTATAATTCAAAATTTTTATGTAATTTCTTTGCCCCAAAATGCTCTGGTAGGGAGTGTTAGCTCTCCCTCTTGAAATGTTCTCACATGGCCACGCGTATACAGCCACTGCCGGGGAAGTCCTACTCACTGTCTTCTCGCGGCGAGGGTGCTGTTTAAGAAGTTGAGAGGACGAAAAGCGAATGTCTGATGCTTTAACAGGGTTGGTGGACATGGACAGTCCATGTAGGGGAGTTGGAAAACCATGATTCCAAATCAATAGTATACATGGGTTCCAGTACCCTGAAGGAACAAATGGAGTATGAACCAATTGTTGGTCACCGACTAACATGGGACTGCATCTCCTTACGTTGCCTTGTGGATCAGACCTTTAGGTTGAAGGCGCCGGGTGTGCCCCCCTAAGAAAACCACCTGCTTCGGTTTGAACACCCGGGCAGTATCACAGCCCACACACAAATCGAGTGACTTGTGTGACGCATATGTATTCGGTGCCTCTTTGTACCAATATTTATGTATTCAAGTAAATAAATCTATATAACTTATATTTAGAAATATATTATAACATAATTCAGAATGGTAGAAACTGAAATTTTTTGTCATCAATGGAAACCGATTTCACTACGTATCTTTCACTCAGTGTTTTAGTTAGTTAAGATTAAGAATGAATTTCATTTATAATAAAGTTCACTGAGATTGATATAATTCTGGACAGTTACCAGTGTTATTATGAATCTTAAGTGGTTGTCGTACATTCAGTTATGTAAATTCTAAGTAATTCGTCATTATCGACTATTTTAATAGTCATTATTAATGAAAAAAATGTATGCATTCTCTTACTGATATTGCTCTAAACTTTCACTTCTGATGTATATATTGAATGCAGTAGGTATAATATTGTTTTAAAAATCTTAACGTTACAAATGTTGATCAGTAAAACCGAAACACTAGTGAAAAAGAGCTGCAGAATTTGATTAGCGTATGCAGCTTGAAAACTATTAAAATTCATATCTGAATGAAACGGATCTTAGAACCGTGGATGAATTACCAGTTATCTTCGATGTACTTTACAGTCTGAATATATTTTATAGACATACATAAAAATAATCCCTTTTCTCAGGACTGTTTGTTTACGGTTTTTATCGTACATCCAAGACAATGTTAATCAATGTTAACGTTTTTCAAACCGTTTCAATGTTACCGAATCTTTGAATTGCTCTGATACTATTTGGCATTATTTCATTACTATTAATAAAACATTATTTTCTGATATGTAACTAAATAGAGCATATTGTTTTTAATGCATGGAATGAATAATTTTTACAGGTAGTAACCTCTACCACTCCCTCTAATTGTTTTGATATGAACAATAATTCAGTCTCATAGTTGATTTCTGTAAAAAAAATCCTCAATCCCAATAACCATTATATTTAAAAACAGATTTTCTAGGAAGTTAAACTATATTGTGTTAATAATATGAATCCAAGTGACTAAAAAATTGTAATTGTATTATATTTTCAACTGAACGTTATCTGATAGTCTGTACAGTAAACTGCTGTCAGAAAGATCAGTTCATATTATTTGAATTTGAATGTGTAGGCCAGTGTTAGCTTAATAGTCTCAAAGTTAAGCATCCACTATCAAACCTAAAAGTCCTGTGCCCAATCGCAGTTACTTACTGCTGTGAAGATTAATACTAAGACAAAATAGCTGTCCATTACTTCATAGTTTTCAATGATTGACGAGCTAAGTTCAATCAGTAATGCTAACTATAAAATTCAGCATTAATTACAAATCCTCAAGTTGAACATAATATCACTCCTCATTTATACATTTGTACAAGCAATTTTCAGTAAGAAACTGGTAAATATTTTAAGAAATAACAAAGAAACCAGATATAATCTGTTGAAGTAAAAACGTTTCATGTGACAGGATATAAGAAAATGATGACAATAATTATTCTAAATGATGAATAGACGTTGTTAACATTTGAAAAATAATGTATCAAGTAAACAGTAACAGAAAATATAAAGGAAACTTTGATGGACTGAAAATTGTGAGCTTCTACCAAAAATTATTGCCATGAATGGGTTAGTTTTAAGGCAAATAAAACACCTGGATACTTTTCCTGTTGACATAAAAATTAAAATCTTCTTTTTTTCAGGTACTGTTATTTACAAGAAAAAACAAGCGTGTACTAGAGATCAGGTAGATTAGCTAGCAAAATATTGGTCATATGAATGAACTAGTTCAAGTTGTTACACTCCACAATAACATGAATTCAGAAAGCACACACAAGAAAGGAAAGCGATTAGATAAGTGTGGGTAAGACAGAGAAAAATCATAATACGGAAAATGGGATGGGGAAACAAGCCATGGATATATTCATATCATTATGAATTACTTTTGACCAAGTTAACTATTATTTGAACATCTAGAACACTTAGAGTAAGAGAGAGCTAGTAAACAACTATAAAACCAAGATTTTATCAATTAGGTGAAAAAAATTTATAAGGAAAAAGGAAAAAGATGGACTAAAAGTGATAATGACAACATTAATGAGTTAACAAACAAAAACAAAAAAAATTTAGTGGGATATGTTCGGAACCGATGAATTAAAAATCATGAGATAACGTATGACTTTAGGATGACGAAGGATACATGTTTTCAAAATAAAGTGTGAGAGAAACTGATAAAGTATATAGGAAATGTATCTAGAAGATCCATGACATAAGCAGTGATCTAAAAAACTGTTTCTATGCATACAGAAATAGTTTTAGGCTACGCATTACTAACGCTCTTTCAATGTGGAAATGGTTAATGGGTACACATTTTAGGAGATGCCGTTTGGTTTTATGAATAATTTCAACTGATTGTCAACTGGTTATCACCAAATAAATGGTGTATAAAAGATTTTGTACTTCTGGATTGTCATTTAATGACCCATATTACGACTGTACTGCTCTTAAAGTAAATCATTAAGGGAGATTTCATCAACGAAATATTCATTTTATTGATAAACATTATTTGGAAACTTAATTTTCGTTCCTAACTTCAATAAGTTGGACGCATCATGAAGCTGATAGACACTTCCACAAATTAATAAGTGTATCATAGAGCAGAAAGTCCACTAATATATGCATCACTTTAACTTAGATTAAATGAGATATTTGGCAACTGAAAACTATGATCGGAATTCATTCACGATTACATTGATTTCAAGTTTAGATTGAATGGAAATGAGATCAGAAGAATCAGCAGAGGCTAACAATTAAATCTAAGTTACTAGGTTGATAAACAGTTTACAAGCATCATCTATTTAATGGAAGTAATGAATATGTACTTAAAGGCCAGTATATACATATATAGTTTCCGTGTTTGTATGTATGCTTATACGTATACATTATACATAAGTGAAAACAATGTCTGACCAAAACAATATGTGCGGCAGAATGAAGACAACTACATATGATTGACATTGCTTTATATCCCAATAACAATATACGCATTATATATTCTTAAGAAACTTAGAGAGACAATCAATAGAACTTAATTTTTTGCAGTTAAAATTTAGTTAATGATGTTATGGATCCCTTGTATTGACATACCATAAAATCACTTTGACGACTATGACTTTTCGTACGGTTTGAATTTGTTCTGCAATACGGTTATCTTCATTTGAATTCAGCCTTGATAACCAACAGGAATCTATAAACTCAGGGTTTATTATTTCCATGAAACAATCTGCTAAAGGTATTTTCACATTTATGGTAAGTCAAATAACTTTAGGGATTTTGAACCACTTTGTTTACCATCTCTTTAATAGGTATTAACGATTAACTATTCCAATTGAGACCTGCTCCTGCTTAATTGTGAAAAATACACTGACTGACCAGTCAATATAAAAGACACATCATTCCATCTATTGTAATTATTTCCAATTTACGATTAAATCTTTTCATTAAACTGATTTCACAATTATTTCTGCAGTTCAATATAAATTGGGAAAACAACATACGAATTTAACTGATTTCTTCAAAATATTATGCAGCAACGACAAACCAAGGCTTATTTCTGATAAATATTAACACTGTCCATTATGAGTACTGATAATGTTAAACAAAATTATGTACCATATAAACAGAGTTGTTTAAAAAACCCATGTAAATTTTGAAGATTTCGAATCTTGTTATGGATGTTAAGTTGATTTTTAATGCTAATAGTATCTACATATTATCATTATGAAAAGTAAATTACGGATCAAATCATGAAAACTCTTACATCTAAATGTATACATAGGTTATCTTATGGAACGAGTTTGTGGAAAGCGAAAAGTAATAGAACTGATATTGAGAAACAGCCTCATTTATATGAGAATGTAAACAATTTGAAATGTTAAACGGAATGAAATTCTGACCATGAGAAGCTTCAGATGTAAATACATTTTTAGATACCTTATGCAATGACAGAATGAATTACAAAGTACCAAGGATATGGGTCTTAGCCCATGTTTTATTATAGTTTAATCGGCCGAGTTCTCATCAGTTTCAACAACGTAAATATAGTTTGTAATATGTCAAAACTTTCTTGTAAATGAACGATATAAATTTATTTTTATTATCAATTCAATCATATGGGTCCTATTTTTTAGGACATTTCTAAGTAGTAGTCTGCAATGTAATCAATTAACTTTTGTTAAATTCTGGCATTATAACAATCATTAATTTTACAGACCAAAGTACAATTTATCATGTACGCATTCATACGGGATCTCAATCCAACATCAGTTCAGATGCTAATGTTCAAATACAACTTTACGGTGACAAAGATTTTACAGGGAATGTTAGGCTTTATAAAGCATATTATGGAAAAGAAGATATACTTGTGAATAAATTTCAAGCTGGCCAAATAGCAGATTTTATTGTTAAAGCAATAAATATTGGCAATATAAAAAAAATCAGGTTAGAAATAAAAATTTAACTACCTAAGATTTCTTTAGGATTGAGCATGACACAGCTGGAGGATCCTCTAGATGGTTTATTGAACGCGTTGAAGTTGAAGCGAAAAAACTAGGACTTTTATGGAAATTTGAATGTAACCGATACATTACACCACAACAACCTGAACTAATATTGTATCCTGAACCAAAAGATATATCATTTGTCAAACCTAGTAAGTAAATATTATCATGTGATGGAGGTAAATTATTTAATTAAACATAAAACGTATTCCTGTTACTTATTCAACGTTTTAGTTGAATAACTGATATTGTTCATTTGCAGTGTTATTTAAATTTATTTTATTACATTCAGAAAATGTAGTCTTATTATGGGGGAGTACAAGGACGTTTTAGTTAAAATACCAAAAATGATGGTTTATAGTAGCTCTTACCTAGAGCTCTTGCCTAGATGGCTACTTTTGTTTGGCTATTATATGTATCATCCTAACGTGGTCAAGCATTTTGTAAACTTTCCATGTACTTTATCATCTGTGAGCTTGCTAACTATATCATGTTCGCTTTTAAGTGTGACTGACATTTACGCTCTAATTGGTTATCCGTAATTTATTCATCTTATATAAAGACTAACTAAGCCATCATTCGTTGAAGAGGTACGTTTGAGGTCTCTGCCTTTCATATCGTATCGTCAACCTTCATTAGTGTATTTATGAAGTTTATATTCAGAAATACTGTAGCATTTGAATTATTATATGCCGTTGTACACTAATGCGATTCACTCCACTAAGTTAACCGACTGATTGCCTGATAACTCACACTCCTGTTTGGAAGTCGTCAGTTTTATATGTTTGCATCCTAGCTTGATATTTATGCTGTGTTGAATCCAAAATATTTTGCTTCAAATACCAACGCTTTTTAGATTGATCACTTGCGGTTATTAACAATAACAGTGGGAAAATATCAATCTCTAAAAATAGTAGTAGACTTCTGTAGTATAATTGAATTTCATGAAATGTAATCTTTCGAAGTTGATGATAAATAAGTGGTTTCTTGAAAACTGTACAAATTTAAAAAGGATAAGTTTTTTAAACTATTTATTGCCAGTATTAATCTAATTACTTACTTACTTTCTTACTTACGCCTGTTACTCCTCCTGAAGGAGCATAGGCCGCTCATTAATCTAATTACATTATGAGAATTAAAACTTGAAATTTATTCAATTATTTATTGAGGGCTAATATTTCAAGAAAATTTGATTTATTGTGAGATGATGTAACCAAGTAATATTCACTTGAAATGTTCAATTCTCAACCCATCATCCGGAACATTCACTAATCTTTATGCAGACTCTTAATATGTGACATAGCAAACCACTATTGACATATTCGATACTTACACAACTATATCATCATTTTCTATTACAATGAAATAAATAGTGGTAGGTGATTAAGAAAAAAAACACAATAATTGTTAACTATTCAATTTATCGTAATCCTGCCAAATCCAAAGCTATGTTTAATATAGTCTCGATAATATCAGTTTCAAAAATAGGTAACTAAAATATATGCTGATTCAGTAAATGCAAATATTTCTAATTACTGTTTATTCACGAAAATATTTCTCTAAAATAATAACATTCATGTATTTTTATTGTCAAACATAAAAAATATCCTAGCTTAAATCACAAATTGATGTTATTTAGAATACCACTGAAAGTCTGGAAGTACTAGACGGATCTTGTGCATAGACACTTAATCTTTGAACCACTGAAGCGACCTTGGTTTGATTCCTGGATGCGAAGGTCATGGATGCTTACTGATGAGGAGTCCTATATTAGGACACAAAAGTCACCTAGCGTTTTCGAGTTTTCAATTGGTATCTACAATCTCCACAAAACCATATACTGAAAGTAATGTATTAATTTAGAACTAATTGAAGTATTGAATGAAAATGCGGAATCAATGTACAGAAATGTATGGTTATACAACCGTGTCATGTTCCAATAAATACATGGCACATCATCAAAAAAGATAGATCCTATGACAATGTAATATCCTCTCTTGTTGTTTAATAAACCCAGTTAATTTCACTGATAATACTTTGAAAAAAGGAAAGCTTCAAACAACTTCAAATGTTAAATCACAACATTGAAATTAATGTTAACGTTAAATAATCCGGTGTATTTTTCGTATACTTTTAGTGACTAACTATCAAATCAAAACATTTACAAGTGATATTTCAGGCGCAGAAACAACAAGTAGTGTATATATACAACTATACGGAAATGATGGTTTGCCAAGTTCCATAAAACGTCTACATCAGAATAATGATAGTGAACACAGATTTCAACGTAATAAAATTGACACATTTTATGTGGAATTAGAAGAATTACAAGAACCATTCAGTAAATTAAGAATATGGCATAATGATAAAGGTAGTTCAACAGATTGGCATTTGAATAAAGTCGAGATCAGGAAAATTAAAACACAGCAATATGTAAGTAGTGCACTTTTTATTAGGATTGTCTACTTGTTTTTATTCTCACGTGTGTCAAATTCAATGATTTCTCACTTCTGGCATTTCTTTAATTCGATTCGATGCAAATTTATTGATGGCTAAAACTTAGACTGATAAATATTTATGAAAGGAAATTAAGTAATCGAATACTTACATCGGGTAAAAGCATTCTAAAACGCTATCATAATTTAATCATAAGTACCAGATATTTGAATTCATTGTAACACCTACATAGAAATATATAAATACTCTGTCCTAAAGTCGATAAAAGTCATTCAGAGATCTTCAAACTTTATCTTAATTTGAAATTTGTTGTTTTAATAATTTCATACCGACTCGACAGTGTCCCATTTGTTTATTTAGAATCTTTGTTAACTTTTATGAAGCTCATTTTCATAAATACATTTAAAAAGACATTAATCATCAATTTCATAAAGATTTCTTATCATTCGCACTAAGTATTTATTGAAGTAATTCAATACCTTAAATTATTAAGAAACTCTCTTTATAAGCTTCATTCTTTCGAATACTTAAAATAATATATAAAAATGACATTAATTTTCAGAAATCCATAAAACCATAGATATCCCAATACTCATTAAAAATGTTTTGTTGCGTAGCATTAGTCGAGTAATTTCATAAAAACTTAGGTGTTGAACTAAAGTCATGAAATTTTTTTGATTAACCTATGTAAATACACTTAGGTCTTCGTTACTTACATATTCCCATGTAATAAATGGCTTTCACGTAATATGGATCAAGCTGCATTGGAACGTGAGCTAATTCCAAGTCACATGCTTCAAGACCAACATGGTATATTGCAATTTGAAAGACAAATATCACCAAAATGGTTAATGAATACTTATGAAGTAAGAATAATCACTGGTGATAAAGTCTACGCTGGAACTGATGCCTCTGTTTACATCACACTGTTTGGTGAAAATGGTGATAGTGGTGAACGTAAATTGACGAAATCTCTAACACATCGAAACAAGTTTGAACGTGGACAGGTCAGTGTATATTTACAAAGTTTCCATTAACTGACTGACATATGCTGATTAAAAAACTCAGATTTTTACTTCTAATTTCACTAAATAAAATTTGGTTTACAAAAACTGAGAGTGTGAGTAATTTTCCAATCCAGTAACACGATGAGGAAATACTATGCATCATTATTCATTCACAGAATTTAACGCTAATACCTGAAAATACTTGTATCTATTCTTAGGTTAACATTTTTAATACACCCTCAAGCAAATTGTTCTAGCTTTGAGACAGACTAATTATTCTGATCCTATTGGTTATTCTGTAACCTTGACAATGTTGATTATTCCCTTTTATAAATATATATTTTGAAATGTGTACATGTTGGTATGTGTGTGGCCATATTTCTTATATATAGCTACCTGATCATAAAAATTTGAGTCTTCCTTAATTCAACGATCTTGCTCGAAACGTCCATTTTCATACTATCTTACTATATACAATGCCTATTTCGCCATACATGGATGCTGGAAATAAAAGTATCCTTTATTTATCGCGTATCTAGAAGTTCAAAATTCTCAACTTACCTATCTTGTTTCATTAGGACAACGGTATTATGCTTGTAGAGTTACCAAACGTTTGGTACGAATACACATTTTGTGACATCATTAGTTTACTAAGTAAATATAATACTGGTTGACATCAGTTGGTGTGAGTTAATATCTAAAATATTGCCTCATCTGTTTATCCTCATTTAACTTTAATAAAGGTCTTAATTCCTCTTTTATAGATTATCACATCTTGTTTTAAGTTTTATCGGCTTAACACTTCCTTTACTTAAATTCTGAAATAACCCATTTGAAAATACTACTTAGCCGCTTTTTCCAGTGTGATGTGTTCATAACTACTATTATTTCCATTGTCTTCCTTTGTAACGACACATCTCAGTGTGAGTAGAATTTACATAAAGTTACTCATGAGTAAATTATAAGTCAAATCATGCAATCAATTATTTAGTGGATATTTGTCTTCTGGTTTTATCGAAATTTCGTAATTTCGACCTTCGTATACAACCCATATTTCAAATTCACTTGATGTTGTTTTGCTTGTATCTCCCCATTGTTATATAAGACTGCGATTGATCGGTCTCATGTTGGTATATGTGCATCCTGTGCGGACTGACTCGATATAGCCTTAAGTTCAGCTGACGAGTCCCAAATGAGACGAAACATGCGTCCTGGATTCCACTGCTAGCCACTATCCATCTTTGCTTAAAAACCCATATTTTAGTTAAGTAATACGTATACTATGTCTATATAACAATGGGAAAACCCTAACTTTGCACTTTTAATTGTCGTTCATTGATATCACTTTCCATATGATAGTTCTCTAGTCTTACGACTGTAAAATGTATAAACAGTAGTAAAGTAACTTGAGCTATGACCATTGAACTATCACTGCTTATTGATAGTGAACAACGAACTATTAGGTTTCTATCAAAAGTTGCATTTTCATCATCTCTTAGTTTAACACGTATTCCTCTATTTCTGGTTAATTTCAGATTTTAACTATATTTTCAACTTAAATACTACCAGATCAGAGCTTACATCCAGTTTGTCATGTCGTCTGGTATAATTAAGTTGACTATATATATATTCTATAATACATGTTCAGTTTTATTACATGTTAGACGTTCCCAAGACATAGAAATCAAAGTGAGAGAAACAAGTCAGACTTTAGTTTGTATATAATTCCTGAGTCATCAATCATTTTTTGAATTTTCAGCAGGGAAAATATTCACTGAAAAGCCAATGAGTTCTTGATTCACCAGTGAAATGAACTAAAATGTTTTCAATAGCTTATCTTACATGTTTGAGTGGGACACATATCTATGATCAGTTGCTTTTTTTTCATTATCAGAGTGTCCATATTTACTGAAAAGTATGTTACTATGAACATATAATTCCTAGTGTAAAACTTATACTTTCGGGTATATTTTCATTAAACAGACAGATGTATTTCAGTTGGAGATAGTAGATTTGGGAAAAATTAACAAAGTGCGCATAAGACATGATAATTCAGGTGTTAATCCTTCATGGTATTTATCTATGATTGAAGTCTTCAATATTTCAAAATCTCAAAGTATACATGGCTTAAAAGATCAACCCAACGAAACTCATCATCTAGTGAAGTATACATTTAATTGTGAAGCTTGGTTATCCACCGAACATGACGAAAAAGTCGTGGACAGATATTTTTCAGCTGAAATCATTAAACCACAAGATACACCTAGTATCGTACCAAAAATTACCAAAGATGTTGTGCCTCATAAATCAATACAAGATTTGTCTCAAGAAAAACGAACTCTTGAAAGTAACTAATACTCCCAAGTTTTTTTATAATAACTTAATATTGTTATAATTTTTCAGCTTCTTTGTTTTCATAAACCACTCATATTTACCTTTGCTAATTTATAGTCCCATTTCGGAACATCTTCAAAGCTTATATCCTCAAAGGATTATCAAATTTACCATTACATATTAAAGATAACTGTGCATTCATTATATCATATGATAATAATCCTTACATACAATAACGGAGATTCATTTATATGCCGGTTGAAGTAGAAGATGTTTATATCAATACTCTGATATTTACATATTACTAATCCAAATCAACACTAAGAGCACAGTTAAACATTGACTTCATGAATAGCTAATAAAGTAAAAACTAGAGACAAAATAGCAAAAAAAAATTTCCTCAGCAGAATCACAAATTCTGATCAATAGTTTTCTCCTTTGAAAGGTTATTTTCTACGAACTTTGACAATATGACTTTTCCTCTGATTCAATGAAATAATTAGACAGAAATACTAATATATGATAGTAGTTTAAAGTTCCCGATTTAGGGGATCTGTACAGTGCATATTTAAATTGCTATTTATTTCATAAATTTCTGTATTATCTGTAAGCAGTGACAAATGTTTAAAATAGCGAATTAAATCCTTGCAGTTAGGTAATTTTTATCATTATTTATTTGGAAAATTTATTTATCTTTCACTTTACATTTCCTTTCACCTATTGTGGCTTTTAACGTAGTTATTTTTCTTCTCAAGTAGAGTTTACTTGTCACTTGATGTCAAATAGAATTTAAGACTCGAACAACCTTTCAAATATCAGTTTAGACTGTTAAATTGTACTTGCGCTTGTGGCTCAAAGTCTACAGTTATTTTATCCTATTTGATTGATCTTTAAGCACATTCACATATATTTCACATTTCAATCATTATAAAACAGAATACAACAATGTCAATGTTCGATTTACTTCGTGAATAACACCTGCCTTCGCAGTGATAAGAACATAAAACCAAAACCTCCGAAAACACAAATAACTTAAGTCGAAAAGAGAAAACATTATACATGAACATCGATTTTAAGGGCGACAGAGCTACATACGTCTTAAAGAAGAGAATTTCTGATTCGTTAAAAAGAACGTTCTTCGCAACAACTTTGCGAATAGCATTTTCCAGCCGATCATTGTTCATCAATAATCTTAAGGATAAATTATCTCATCTGACCAACTCAATGTGCATTTACCAATTTATCTGCTCATGTGGAGCCAAGTACATAGGTCGTTCGATGAGTACTTTATCTAAAAGAATTCAAGAACATTACCCGGCGTGGCGAGATTGGTACAACCTCTCCTCCTACCATGGCCTTAATGTCTTATAATTTTTTTTTTCATTTTTCATACTCTTCTTCCTTTATAGCCATATTCTTCCCCTTCCATCTGCTCCCTAAACCTTCTACCCCCAACTGATCTATTTCTGCTTCTATGATCCTCCTGATTACATTTAATCTCAATTTCAATATTTTATCTTATCATGCTGAGCCATCCTTTCCCAATTATAATTTCCCTATCCTTTGATGAATATTTAAGCCCTTAATAATCAATCAATTATTAGTTTTTCTGTTTAAAATAATTTTTTATTACCTTTGTTTATTCTACCTCATTGTCACTATGTCTAATAGAAGTTTATTATCATTATTATTGTAATTATTTTGATTGTAATCACCCTGAAAAAAATTACTTACTTACTTTGAATAATTTTTTCTGGTTAGCGTTTTTTTTCAGCGAGATGGGGTCGCTAAACCCATGCCCAACCCTTCTCCTTTATCCGGGCTTGGGACCGGCAGTAGCCCCCGGAGGGACTCTAGGCGGAGTTACCCTGAAAAAAATAAGTATATATGTTTGCGATTGTACAGCTTTAAAAATGAATTCGCTGAAAAGGAGAACTCTTTTCTGAACTAATCTTTCTTATTCACAGTAATCCACGGTTTATTAAAATTTTATCATCTAAACTGGCCTTTTAAGGTTTAAATGTTAATTACCTATGAAAACTATTCATTTAATTTCTTTCACAGGTTTTAATGAATTATTTAAAAATTATTCATTCTGTTTTGAATTTCTATACCATTAGCTATTCCTTATTTGATTACGGTTATTACTGGTTCCGATAGGAAAGCTGGAACGCCTGGTCCTGTATGGATTTGCTGTGTTGATAAAAATAAAATGAATTCAGAAAAGTTTATTCTATGCGATTGTTATAATAGAACAAAGTTAAAAAGAGGAACTACAAGGTATTTTCGATTCACAGGTGCTAAAATTAATGATTTGACTGAAATACAAGTGAGATGCTTTTTTTACTTGAGTGTCTTAAAATGATTGTTTTTTTAAACTCACAAGTTTGTAGTTTAGTCATTTGAAATGTCTAACAATTACTTCAGTACAAAATAATCATTTTAATCCACATGACAGGAGTTATTTATCTTATTCTTTTGTGAATTGAATGAAGTGTTAAATAATCATGAGAATTCTGTCATAATTAGGACTGTTAAATCTACTTTTACTCAATTAAGTTCCACAGATAACAAGTACTTACCTTTGCGTTGATTAAACACACAAATTTCCTTTGGCTATAAGTCGTTATTAAAGTTAGAACCTTAGAGAACCAGCCAATAACCTTCTTAAGTCTTTGATGGCTGAACTCTTTTTGCATTGCCAGTAGTTCCCTTATTTTCTGACTTAAGACATACCTTTACTAGCGAGCATTTGGCATCTTTGTATACTTTGTTCATATTGTGATAATGAGTTTAGAATATTTTGAGGCTATATTTTTATAAAGCCATAACTTGTTCACTAAACAGATCACTTGAAGTACGAAACTGTATAAACTGAATTATTATTTTTGGACTTTAGGTTTTCAAAAATATACAATAGTTGAGCAAATAATTGTTGTCAATAACTTCATCAGGCTCTACAATTATAAGTCCAGAATTATGATATTTTACAAAGACCAAAATAATGGATTTAAAAATGCTAAATGTTAAAAATGATGAACGTTTGCATCTGTTACGATACAAATACTTCAAAATTGTGTTATTTGTAAATTAGAAAGGTCATTTATTAAAGGTCAGGATGAGTTAGAGTAGCATCAAGTCTCAATCAGTATAATAGCAATATAGCAAAAATGTAAATGAAAAAAAATCGTGTGAATAAAATTCATGGTAGGCGAATTTAATCTTGTTAATCGAGGTAACAATGATAACAATAATAGTAGTAATAATGATAATAATATCGTTGTGTGAATATAATATGTAATCAAAGGGATGTTATCAAGGTCATTACGACATAAAAGAATTCATGTAAATTGGTAAAGGTGAATGTGGAGAATGATATATAAACACGAAAGGAATTGGGAGGGGGAATAAGAGGTTATATTGTCTAGCTTAGGTATCTTGTGATCCAGTCTTGGACCACGGTAAACATAGAGGCTGGATATACCTCTTCTGGGTGTATAAGTTCAGTATTGTGTAGTTGATCCAGATGACTTCAGCTAAGTAGAGTAGCCACAATCTAGCTCTTTGAGGTAGATTCTTTGGAACTTGATCTAAAACAGAGAAGCTTCCTGTATTTTGATAATTGATTTAGTAACTCCTTTTCCCAAGCGTGCTGGTACATGTTCACGAGCACGCAAGGATAAAGCCTTATGTGTACGGCCTGCATAACTAGCTCCACAAGAGCATTGGAACTGGTATGCACACGTGGAGGTATTCCTCATCGGTAATCTGTCCTTGATTTGTCGTGTAAGTACTGGTTTAGTTGAGAAAATTGTACGTAACTTGGAGTCGTGAAACATCCTTTCGACAGATCTTTTGTGTCGATGTGCTAAAATGTAACCCACTATGTATCCTTTAAAATCTAGTTTCGGATATAGTTTCTTACTGACCGAGTCATAGTTTCTTCTTTTTTTAGTACCTTCTAACAGGAATTTTCTAACGAAATTATCCGGATAACCATTATTTCGTAATGTGTTTTTCATTGTATCTATTTCGCTATCTACACTATATTCAGAATGTAATAGTTTAGTTCTGGGGCTGAGATATGTAACCACATTTATTTTGTATTGAAGACGTGTAAAGCTATGGAAACGGGTATACCGACCAGTCCATGTGGTCTTTCGAAATATATTTCTTCAAATGAAACCGTCTGTTCTTCTGCAGGACCTGACAATATATCAGCCGAAGCACAGAAGTCAGACATACAAGTAACTGCAAACATGCTTCATGTTCTATTGAAGATTTGGGAGAAGGAACAAGTGTTGACAGACTGGAAACAAGGATACCCCATCACGACACTGTTATATCTCAAATGGCCGCCGATTAGAGGGCAGTGACTTATCGATCGGATCAAAGGATTCAGAATCTCAATAAACTATTCTGCTCCGTTGTCCCCGACTCAGCTAACTCGATCAAGAAGTCTTGGTAAGGCGTAGAAAGTGTATTCTACAGGCAACCAGCAGATACCAGGTCAGGTCAATCAGGCACACAAATCAAGCGTATTTATACAAATATTTATAATCCATATTGACATGAAAATCTTTTTAAACATTAACCAATAAGTTCATCAATAAGCTGAAATTACAAAATATGAGTTTTGGGGATCTATCGTCCCTAACAGTTACCAAAACAATGCGATCTCAGCAAATGTGAAAACTACAGAGACATCATACTACTATTGGTACCAGGAAAGGTTTTCAACAGTGTTGTTGAAAGATTTATGAAATATTCAGTATACGCCCTACTCCGAGATCAATAGACCGGATTCCGTAAGCGTTGGTTTTGCAAAGACCAAATCGGGACACTACGGATTATCGTTGAGCAATTAATTAAATGGAACACGTCACTATACATCAACTGCATTGGCTATGAGAAGGCGTTAGACAGTGTGGATAGGAGAACCCTATTGAACCTTCCTCGACACTATGATGTACCTGAGAAAATCGTCAACGTCATACGGAATCCATACGATGAACTACACTGCAAAGTCATGTATAGAGAGCAGTTCACAGGTGCATCACGAGGCCGGCCATAACTTGGAATCCTTAAGGAAAAAGGAAAAGTGGATGACATCGCGTCGGGATTCGGAAACAGACATGAAAAGGACAAGTAACAACTGGATACAATTGGAATGTATTACTAAGGACAGAGTTGGATGGGGAATGCTGGTGGTTGCCCTATGCTCCTGCACGAAGTGTTACAAGTGTAAGTGAGTAAGTAAGTAAGTCTGTCCTTCTAGAAAGTAGAAAATCAGGGAAAGATGTACTATTGTCATTTTTCTCTTCTCTGGTGAGCTTAATAGCTTGGTGGACGTTATTGAAACAGTTCAATAGCTCTTGTATATCGATACTTTCGTCACATATGTTTAGTGCATCATCTATGTATTGACAGTAATAATCTAGCTTTCAATGGTCCATTTTCTAGCTTGACTATAAAAACCTAGGGGTATATTATGTTGCATTAGAACATAAGTCCAAGTTGCATATTCTCAGAAATAATCAAAAAAATAATTTCTATAGTAGATTCAGGTTAAATAAACCAGGAAGGAGACACCGTTTAACACAAAAAGCATTTGAGCGTAGTAACAATATGTTTGTGAGCTAAAATAAAACAAGACAACAGGGTCATCAATTGAATCCTAATTGTAGTATTCAACCGATTTGGTCATACCAGGATTTTTACTGCCAATAATTTAGCATACAGGTTGGTCTGAAATAACACAATAACAGTAACACGTTTTTGGATAAATTTATAATTTGTCGAGACTAAAAATTTTATTTACATAGAGATGTGATGATAAAATATTTCAGAGTCTATTCAGAATCTTTTCTCATTCGCCTATGGATTAAAGGGTACGCCAGGGTACAGAACTGCCATAAAAAGACTATATCACTACTTCTTGTACATGATAATTATGACATGATGATATGAAGCTGTTTGGACTGCCGCTATGATTATACCAATTGAATACTACTATAAACAATGACAGGTTAATAAATTCGGACATTTCTATCACAAAGTTCATTAAGTAAACAAATAATTAAAACTTCCAGCCAAAATAGGATCCGTTCAGCTTAAAATTTAAACAGTCATTGTAATTAATTTACAGTCATATTATTGAAAATCTCAAATGACTAGCTTCTAACTTTCCACAGCCATCAATTGCAAGACTTCATAGTGTTCATAACAATGCTCCACTTAGGTCTCTAATCCATCTGTTATATATCATCTATAGATGAATTTTTCAAATTAATCAGCTGACTATTTATGTAGTTAGACTACACCTTTATTGCGTTAGGTTCTTATGATAAAATACCTTGTCGATTACGAGCTTTGTTACAGGATTTTGTTACTGAAATTTATATTTTTCTCTAGTTATAGCTTTTTCCTTAACAATACAAAATTTTGCTGCAGGTTGGAAATGATGCTCCAGAAAGTCTTTCAATGGGTTGGTACATGCAATCTTTATACCTAACATTCCCTACAATTGGAAAAATGTATCCGTTTGACTGTAAGGAATGGCTATCGACAAATCGTGGCAATAAAAAACGAACTTGTAATCTGAAAATTTCAAATACAAATATAGTCAAGTTTAAAGCAAGTGAGCTAACAGGAATCTCGTTAAATTTATCTAAATGTGAATTATACTCATTTTATTGTTATTCTAGTTGGCATGTGCTAAACTGAGAGAACACACCTTAATCAATTAAGTATTAGTTATAGTCGTAAAGTAAAATATGTGACATTTTGTCAAGCATCACACTGTTAATTATAGACTTTAGTTTGATGTGCTTACAATATAGATAGAACTTTTACGCTTAGTAGGTGTCTAGCTATAGTTAAAATAAATTAAATTAAGAAGATTAACCCTTGAATCAGTACAGACAATTCACATCTCACTTCAGTAATCGGAAGTCATTGTCGTCTTATGAATTTCGGCAATTAGACTTTAAGGTCACTAGATTGTGTGATCATATCTATCATAAGTTCATCAAGGATTTGATTTTCTTACGTTAAATCAGGGATATATCATCAATAGACAACTTTAGTGTCATGTGCTATCATCTGTAATTGAATAAATTAACAACAATAGTTATTTTGAATCAATTATACTACCAAAAAGTATTGCAGCCTTAGGACATTTACCCGTGGACTTTATTGACAAGCACAAAAGATTGTTCATCCTTGAAATAACCCTAACTTAAATATATAACAATGAGAGAATCAACTTTATTTATGAAACAAAGTCAAGGATTTTATGCTCTAATACATTGGCATTATCAGTCCCAAAAGAGAAATATTTTCGTAGCTTATCAAGTTAATTCAATAATTCATGCTTACAAATTTTTATTATGTCTTTGTTTTGTAGATATGTGATTTTGGAGGATTATTGCTTGATGCATAAAGTTTTTGTCACTGACGCGCATCATCAGATGACCTTTATACCAGAAATTCTTGAACAGTTGTATCTACCCAGTTTAGGATATCTCAGAAATTTATGTATCCATGTCCCAACATAAAACCATACCAAGTTTATTAACGTCGTTTGACGAGTAGGATGTATTAATATGCAGAGTCAAGATCGAATTACTACAAATTGCAAACTGCTGCTAATTCGTTGTATAGTCCAAACATTAGCGTATAGATATCCTACTAACGTCAAGATCATAAAATCTTAGATCCTATACTTTGTGGGGTCGTAAATTTCCACTATTAATTTATCCCTGACTGGAGCACTACAGTCGTCAAATTTTCCTAAATTTTAACGATCCATTAACTGAGATAATTGTTCGGCGAAAAATATCTTTAAGCCTTATTTTCTGGGTTCAACATCAACACCACTTTTAACTTGTAGATAACGATTAGTGAGAATCGAGCAAATAGTGCTACTTTACATTGCCACAATTCGGTTATTGCTTTTTACATCATTTTTCTAAAAATAAAAACAGCTAGTAATACGTTTTAAATAGATAATTATAGATTTAGTTAACGTTAGCATCCATCAAAAATCCACTAAAAAACAAAATTTTGGAGAATAATTATTCGTTAAGATATTTTTGGGTCCTCTTATCTAAAAGGTTTGACTGCGGAACTTCTGTTGTCTTTCCGGACGTCATTAACCTATATTTGATTTTAAAGTGAGCTTCCTAATTATTCCATGAGCGTTAAATTAGGGCTAACGATCCAACTTAATTAAAACTGATAGAAAAAACCTCGTTTCTACACAGAGTAAGCTTTGTGGATATTGTCCAGAAAGACAACCGAGACTGTGCAGCTAATCTATCTAGCTCAGTCAGTTCGCAAACACCTAACACTTGCACTGGAGTCGCAAATACTTTACGACAATTCAATAATTATTTCCAATGATACGTTTTTATGAAATAGCGTTTTTTTTATTATATCAGTTTTTTCTAAAAATTTTATTTAAACAAATGATTTTCTATTACGCAGAAATTACTTATCATTTGAAAATAACTACAGCTAGTGTCAAGAAGGCCGGGACAGATTGTAGCATAAATCTTCAAATTTTCGGTACAAATGGTGTAACAAACTGCTATACTCTAGAAAAGACCAGTAATCGATTTTCTCAAGGAATAACCGATAATATTAGTCTTGAAATGGAGGATGTAGGAAAATTGTTAAAGATGCGAATAGGACATGACAATCAGGTGATGCTTTGCTGATATATATTTATAAGCTAAACGTATATTTTATTGATTTTAAGACTAGTACCTTTTGAACTTAAGCACTTATCATGTTTCAATACTGAAAATTCATATGCGGTTAAGCCCAGAAGGTTTGGTTCTTAGCCTATATTCTTCATAGAAATACTTAATATTTTTAAAAAATGGCACCAACTATATCATCCAGATAACCAACGAAAATGATCGTTACACTCCACCACTTAACAACTATAAAAGCCTACTGATCAGAAGGTATGACCTGTTTAGTCAGTCTGTCAATGAATTTATTGGCTTTATTGGCTCGATCAGTAACAATAATTGAAAGCTAAATTTTATGAGTTCTAGGTTTTACAGTTAAAATCAGTTGATGGATGATTAGGTTCTCACACTAAGCTAGTACTTAAAATTATGAATCAGTATAATGTGTTCACAAAGTTAGTAAAACAAGGAAGATTGATCATACAGGAAGAAATCAAGTCATGGCTTTTTCTCACTCTTCAAACTACTGACGAGGTCATGCAGATAAATGGTAAAGTCTAATCAGGAAAAGAAATATGTAGAAATCGTAGAACGCCTTTAGCTCATGCAACATTTTTCACATAAATTGTCCGTCTAAAGTTTCGAATGTTTGTTATACACCAAACGTATGGATAAATCTCTTCATATAAAGAATAAGTTGCAAGAATCGATTAATTCATTGTGATTTATCAATTTGGTTGCTCTTCTGTAGTCAGATATTCAGGCTGTTTGTCTGCAATACTTCTTGATTGCATTTAAGATCATTCTCAGTATGGCTTACCGAAGTTTTAAGGAGGGACAATAAATGAAATGTAAATTCTTTTAAGTCATAAGATTTGATGTCTGAATAATTCATAATAGTTCAAAGTCATCGCCTAATGACTGAAATTCTGTGAACAACTTAGAGTTTCGGATAACTAGTCGGTTGCTTTAGAATATAAACTAAACAATGTATATATTTGAATGACTTTCAGACTCATGAATTATTATATAAGTAAACAGTCATGAAAATGAAATGAATTTCATCGTCAAGTTATTCAATCTATGACTTGATGAGTATATTCACATAAAATGTTCAGTCGCTTAAGAATGTAAGAAACTGCGTTTATCATCAAGAAAATAATACTGACAAATTATATTCACAAGAGACTTGTATTTGGTGTTTACAGAAATTATTTTTTTTAATTTTTTTATTTATACTATCAACTTAACGACAATATTCTTGTTAATTTAATTCAGGGTAAAAACAAGCATTGGAATTTGAGTTGTGTTGAAGTAACAGTTGCTAATACAAATCAGTTATATCGCTTTGTTTATAATGATTGGCTTAGTTTAACATATGGTAAACGAAAATCATTATGGGTTGACTTGCCGGCCATGATTGGCGATACCGTTCAGTTAAAAGGTATAAAGTACATGAATAATTAAAATTTTATTTACAAATACTGTTTTTCAAAATGGTGGACGGTCGCGCACTATCGTGGATTGGTTAAAGTTAAACATTAACACTGTTGGATGCCGGCTCATTGGTCTAGAGCTTAGGCGTCCGCACACGAGACCTAAAGTCCTGAGTTGGAGTCTCGCTTGCGAAAATGTTAATGCACTGTGCTGAGGAGTCCCATACTAGGACGAAAAGGCCGTTCAGGACGTCCAGTTTTTCAATGGTGGTCAAGCTTGAATCGATTCATGAATTCAACTATTAAATTACTGCAATCTCCACGAACCCCCATTCTGATCTTGACAAAACTTTGTCTTGTGAAAGTTCATGTTAATGCTTGTATAGATGATCAAAAGAAACTACTTTTATGCCATGTATTTTATCAGTATACGTTTACAAAAGTAGTCTAATACTGCTCGGTCATGTATTTTTAGCAACAGTAGTAGTGGGAGTACTTTACCTATACTTGTACTGTGTTACAAAGGAGATTTCAGGCTATTTAGTATTTTTTTTCTTTCTTTAGAGGATACTCTCGATAACGTTTCTAATTCATATTTCGACAATAACCTTTTACGTTATCTAATCGGTTGTCATCCCTGTTAATTCGCTAACTTTCCATGCCCTAAAGTCATTGTATGTCACTGTAAAAACAGATTTGTTCTCATTCTTTGTGAAATATAATGTTACCATAAAAGTACCATATTCTCTACCACTCTGTGGATTATTATCGTTAAGATGTTGTTGTGTATCAGATATCCGGTATACTCCTGTTTATATTCGTTCTTGTTTGTATTAAAGAAATTCTCAGTCGTTGGTAAATACAATTTACCGCAGACCAGCTGAAAACAGCAATACATAAGCGTTTCTGTGTAGATATAACATATAGGCAGTAAGCACTACAGGTTTTACCTTTTTATGGATTTAAAATGTAGAAAGAACTATCTCAACAGCATAAGTGTTTTGTCAAGAATACTTATTTTCATAAAATCTTCGACTTTTTTCCGGAACATTTTCATCTACCCATTATTTAGTACTAAAAAAAGTGACTGATTCCTTTATACCTTAATATTTATATTACACATATTTATATATTTATTATATTACTTGGACATAATTACACATTATTTTTGCACAGAGACATGTTTGGATATATTTGTTAAGACTGGAAATATGCCAGCCAGCTCTACTGATGCAAATGTATATGTACAACTTTTTGGTGAATATGGTGATTCAGGAGAAATACTATTAAAACAAACGGTATCGAATCAGAAACCTTTTCAAAATAATTCAGTAAGTTTGTTTCTTTGTTTTAATCTGTTATTCTTCCATGAACTCGAAAATACACAATGAATACTTTAAAACTTCCTGGATATATTTATGGTTATGTAGAAAAAAATACCTAACTCCTCTTTAGAAGGAGAAGAAACACCGAGAAATCTATGCACTTGAAGACTATCAAACATGTTTTTTTCAACAGTTTAGATGGACTAGGATAAACTGCTTTCTTATACATGTACGCATCAATCTACAGAAATTTCAATTCAGCCTTTGGAATAATTCTAAAGCCAGCTGTATTAAAATGATATAATAGGTTACCCTTAATCACATCCACTCAACATGATTATGTTGAAGTGGACGAAAAAAATATTTTCGTACAAACTTGAAACTTGAAACTTTCAAAAACACATTGTTTTGCTTATTTCAAAGTTCCCGATAACGAATATAAAGCGTACTTTACAAGATTCATGTAATAAAGAGATAAATATCTAATGGAGACAACATAAAATCATAACTTTTTCAACTCTAATATTAAGTGTATTAGCCACATAATTTACTTTCGCCAGTAAGTACATTCAAAATTCTTAACTGAGGGCCACAACAATTCATCCCATGAGCTTTTTGTATCTGTTTTTGTCTCAGTTGGTCATTTACATTATTTTATTATGTTTATATTTTTCCCATTCACCACTGTCCCAGATAAAAGTGAGGTACTACAACCTTGTTTATAATATTAGAAAGTGTTTATCGATTCACCTTGATGTCAAAAGTGAAGCACTGCGTAAAACCGATTTAAATGAATAATCACATTGCGAGTTTGTGTCTCATTATTTATCAAACCATGGTTTAGATTGTTTAAGTGGGAAGATTTGCTTCCAAGTGGTTCAGTTTACTATCATGTAGTTCATAGGAAACCAAGTAGATATATCAAGTAAATTATCGCATTTAACACTAGTCCGGTAATTCACACTTTTGTGGACAAAGTTAAACAAACATTTTATAAATAAAGAAGAATAGTATATTATTTGATATAAAACGACTAAACGTTTGAGATTCAGAAGATAAATCTTAAGGCTATTTTTGTCACAAAAGCTCACTTTCATCTTCTATCAATGGATTTTAACAACTCACTATAGAATCTAGAATTGTGGGGGACGATGAAATATTTCTTAAACATATTTCCTTTAATTGAATTAGAAGAATAAGGATAACAGCTGAAGTAAAATATTATAAATTTACCTCATTTTGTCAAGATTTCGTAAATTGCCCACAAACTATTATGTTTCTATGTCATAACAGCACAATGATAATGACAGCTGCGACACATGGCCATTAGGAGTAGAAGATTTTCGTAAGCTACTAGTATTTGACCACATCTGCTGGGATCACCGGATAAGTAATAGTGATGTTAGACATATGGTATTAGGAAATGATGGTAAGTCAGTTGATGAGGTTGTGAATCTTCATCGACTGAGATGGCTGGGCCACGTGTTGCGTATGCCTGAACACCGATTACCACGACGCACAATGCTGACCAGTGTTGGGGATGGCTGGAAGAAGGTTAGAGTCAGCCAAATCAAAGCTTGGCATCAGTCATTGAAGTCACTTCTTTCTAGTCTGAGCCATGTTGGAAGATGCAGACTACTTGGTTGGGGTCCGCGTGACTATTGTAACCAATGGTTGGAGACTCTTGGTGATATGACTCAGAATCGATCACAGTGGCGTCGGTGTATACACTCTCTGTCTTCCTTTAAACTGTCAGATTAGAATCGCTTCGTATCTTCCTTTCTATGATTTAATTCTTTCTTCCTGTACTATATCCTTATATGTAATCATTCTTTTATATATTACCACCACTGAATTAACTACTTCTATGAATTCGGTGTTTATCTTTTTGTGCTAATGAGGTATGACAATTTGGACCGATGCACATATGTGCCTGATCCTACGTTGTAGCTGATTGACTAACTGACTTAACAACACAAAGAAAGTATTATATCCTTGCTGAACTAGCTGCTAGGATGCTATTTATAATTCATCTGAGAAAATTTATTTAAAATAATTCAAGAAGTTTCTATGTTAAACAAGATCTAATTTGGGAAATAACCTATTTTGCATCAAACTTGTAGTGATTCAATTTACAGATACAAATTTATCACTCATAATAATGCATGGACACAGAGGGATAATCAATGTAAGCAAAACTTTAATACCATGCTCTACACAAGATACGAATACTTAAATGTTATAACATCCAAACGATGGTTTTTTTATAGAACAGTTTGATAAACTAAAATGAATTAATTAGGCCAGATAAAAGAAAATAAAGGCTATAGTATTATATATCTTACCATATCAAAAAGGTCAAAGTTGAAGTTCCGGCTTGTTTCACATTTGTTTGCACATTTTTGGGTAAATAATAACTAAAATCTCCTGAAGTTCAGTAAATTCTATGTAATTTTATTTTGCTTTTTGTATGATTACGTTAAATGTCATTGTGTAAACTAATTATTACATTTTAGATTGATCATTTTAAAATATCATCAATTTTAAAACTTGGTAATCTTGCCCGTTGTCGAATATGGCATGATAATAAAGGATCATCACCAAATTGGTATTGTGAATGGCTTGAAGTAAAAGAAGTTCTGATACCTGGAGAAAAAAATTTGTCATGTAACTGGAAATTTGCTTTTAACAAATGGTTATCCATAAGTGACGATAACAAACAATTATTAAGAGATGCTCCATGTTCTGAAGTTTATCTGAATGATTCCAAAGGTCATAGAACTATTGATCAGGAATCTATCGAGACATTGATAACAACGGCAGATTCTATGAATATATCTGACTTAAAAGATAATCCCGAAGGAAAACTAGGTGAGAGAGACTTTTTTCTCTATGGTGAAAATTCCCATTCTGATATTCAGTAAAACGAACGACTAGGACGAAGACATTTTTACTCAATTAGATTTTCATCTTTGCTCTACCCTAACATATATATGATTGACAATAATGAAGTAATACTCATCGAGTAGTCACATTACATATTTATTATATGATGTCACAGTGAATATAAAATAATATTGAGTAATCGGAAGAAAGAGGATTGTCATAATCTACAAGATTATTCGAAAAATTCAACTAAAATGTTACGACATTACATAGTATTTAAAAATAATTACCTATACATTTGATGTGCAGTTATCAATTTCACTACATTTTCGGAGCCAGTGATTCGGCAAGCTCGTTTTGTTTAGGCGAAGGACAGGTAAGACTGACTGAGTTCTATTCTTGCTCACTTGACCTGAGTAATGCTGTTAAAGTTATCCACCAGACTTCATCAAATTTACTGCATGGTTTACAAGTTCATCTTTATATATCGATGTAACCACTAGAACCCATGTTCGTAAACCACACCTTTTGCATTCAAACGAAGTTTGTACAACCACTCTCACTACCTTGACCACCGATACAAGAGTCAGTATTATCTGAACTTTGACTAGTCCCATTTTTCCAATGTTCGAAAATTTTTGTTCACTTTTTCAACTTCGCATATTCTCCACATTCATCTCTTGATTCTTATATAGCTGCCATAATACTGACCTTTCAACAAAATATAGTGTTACTTCTTTTCAAACATTATGTAATGTAACAACCTTTTAGTTGAATTTTTCGAATAATCTTGTAGATTATGACAGTCCTCTTTCTTCCAATTACTCAATACTATTTTATATTCACTGTGACATCATGTAATAAATATGTAATGTGACTACTCGATGAGTATTACTTCATTGTTGTAAATCGTATATATATTAGGGTAGAACAAAGATAAAAATCTTATTTAAAAAAATGTCTTCACTCTATTTGCCTTTACTAGATTTTATTCTGTCAAAATAAAAGCTTTTTATGATGTAACAAGTCAATACAGAACAGCAATTGCGTAACAACATGCCCATATTTCTTTCATCTCTGACTATCCTCTAAAATACCCAATTAGTTACATTATAAAGTGTTAACATGTAAAGTAATCTTCATTATTTCACGATATCTTCTCACTAAGTTTAACAGAAAATAAAACTTCCGTATTTCAACCTATTCAATTTTTTATTCCTAACCTCATCAAAATACGACGGTGAGTGTAGGTCACGCTAATTAGATTTAATAGCACCTTAGATGATTTATTAGCAAAATTTATGATTGATTCAGTGACTGGTGAGGTTCGACCTTAGTGGAAATATAATAACTATCAACTGTGGGAATAAATAATTTCATTACTTCAAAAAATAAAAGTGCGGACCACTGAAGTTCCACTCAGCGATTTAAAAGTATAATCGTAATCACATCATATAATGAATCTGAGTTAATTTCCACTTTCGGTCGTGAACAAGGACTGCTGAGGAGTCCTAAACTAAGTCGAAATAGTTGTTCTTTGTCTTTATCTTCCTAGTGGTCGTCCAGTTTATATCACTCTTCCAAAAAACTTCTTTTCTTCGCAAACTGAACTAAAAATATATACGAATATTCGTCAAGATTAGGACGAATAGCTTGACAGTAATTGAGCGCCGAGTATAGAGAAGTCATTATATGTGAAATTTATATTTGAAATATTCTCCGCGATTGAAATTTAACTAATTCCAACGTTTCGTCTAGCTAACTTGTCTGGACTTCTTCAGGGTAATAATCAAAATCAAAATTATCAAAGAAATATATAGCTTTTTAACAATCAGGATTATACTGTGTTAAACCAATCATATTCTGATGTTGAGTTTTTCGTAAAATAAGATAAAATGAATCAGTTAACTACAAATCATGTGAAGATATCAACTACATGGAAATACTTAACTGAGTAACAAATCGTATATGTGTGTGTATGTATGTATGTATGTGTGAAAGGTTGATATGAAGGAATAAATCAAGTTCAAGTTCAAGGATGAAAAAATTGATAATGAAACATCGATGTACATGTCTAAATATAAATTGTATTGTTTAAAAAACTTATTGAGTTCTTTCAAAAATAATAATGATGCATGTGATATTAAACAAGAGATAGGTTCCAAATTTACTTGTCAAACGAAATTTGCCAGGTAGTTGCCAGTTGAATACCATCTTTTCGGTTCAGGCTGTTCTTGTTCGCCCATATATGCAGGGCTTCTGCTGTCAATCTTTCTTTATGGGTGTTAAAACCTTTCTGAAGTATTTTGGTCCCTTCAAATTAATCTTGTGTCCTGTTTCTAACGCATGTAACGCTATCGCTGACTTATTTTCAAGTTTCTTTAAATCGACCGAGGATTTTGGAACATTTTTCAAACATTGTTTGTGTTCCTTCAATCTTACATTCAATTGCCTGGATGTTTCTCCAACATAGGTAGCATTACAGTCGTGACAGTGAATCTCATACACAATGTTCTGTTGTTCTTCCTTTGCTAACTTGTCCTTAACCTTCACTAATGTCGATCTTAATGTATTATTCGCTCTGAAATACACTCTTATATCATGTTTGTTTAGAATCCGTTTGATTTCTTCTGATGTTTCACTCCGGTAAGGTATGACTACGATGTACTTCCATTCTTTTCCTATACTCTCTAGTTTAGTTTTTCTTTCATTTATATTTAATTGAAGATGACAAATATATTTTAGACCAACTATGTTTTATTTTCTACACTTTTTAAAGGTTTTCTTGAAGATTCTATGTATGCAATTATCAGCTTAATAGACTTTTAGTGACAGATAATTATTCAAGCATCCTGCTGCTTATCACTTTAAGAAGAATTGTCTAAATTGTTTATTTTGCACAAATCTTTAAGGTCTTCAAGTTTTTCTTATTACTTTTTGTGATTATTGCTGGTTACTTCTGAATCGCAATAGAATTATAAACTCAACAATTTCGATCCCAGTTTGCTTATGTTTATTTTCATACAAGAATTTATTCTCTGTAAGAGGAATAAAGTTATGCATCTTAAAAAGTCATGCCTTTTAAACATGGTTAATTTTCAGTGGGTACTATCAAAGACAATTACAATGAAAGGTGATAAATATACGTGTGAATTATAATTTATTAAATCTACAATTCTAGTTAGAATTTCGTTGTTACTATGATGTCTTTCTGCTAACCAGTTGACCAAATCATTGCAAAGTAATAAGTTTTTATAGAACAGATGGATCGTAGCAGTGAATCCAAGATGCATGTTTCGTCTTGTTTGGAATAAGATTTACCTTTATCCTAATAGAAATGTTAAAATTAGAATTCGTACTCATCACCTTTCACTTCAAATTCAACGGATTATCTACTAATCTGCTGCGTTCATGTAATCATTATCTTATTCAACAGGTATAATGTTTATACCATTATCAGAATACCGACACGAAAATCCAAACTTATAATCACGTATTAGTTTTTAGCTGAAAACTCCTACCAGCTCATAACATAAATCCATTCTGGAGTTGATTAGAATCATTATATTTAACATGGAATATTATTCCTTTAAGCTATTCCGATAGAATGAATATTTTCCCATTTTCACTTCATTAAACTCACAATATCAGGTAACACATTACCTATCCTCAGTAAGTATTATCTGCCTTCACTTCTTACTTGATTTCTACATGAAGTTTATACAGCATCATCTTCAAATCAATAATAACCATTTTGAATTGTGTAATTAGTAAAAACTGTGCGATGACTTAGCTGTTTAAATTCATTGTATGAATGTATAAGATACTTTCTATCTTATTTGTTTACTAAATAAACTACATTTGATATTCTTTTAGCAAAACTCTCTATTAATACATTTGATTTTCTATTGTACAACTAAAAATCCAATTAATGACACATTTTAGAGTTATTAATCATATGTAATAGTTATAAATCTACTTAAATTTTATTAGACTTCAATTACCACTAATATTTATTTTAGTTTATGAAGTAGTAATAGAAACTGGTAATCTAAAAGATTCGGGTACAACTTGTGATGCATGGATTATAGTAGAAGGTAAACATGGTCGTAGTCCGAAGTTGGAACTAGTTAATCAAGTTGGCAATCCAATACTTCAGATTAATCAAACGAATACATTTCAGTAAGTTTATTTTGTCAATTTTTTTATTTGTTTAGTGAAATTCATGGAGTTATGATTAAAAATGTTGTAACGTGAAATGCTGGAGGTTAGCGAATGATCGATCGATTCAAAGATGCGTAGACACGTAAGAACGACCTAGGGCTCTGATTGATCTGCTTCCCTGTCTAACCCAGCCAGTTGAGTCCAGAACGCAAGTCCCAGCCTCTGAGATATGAATCCTTATATTTCAGACATACTCTGTTTATATACCAATCAAACAGACCACATCGTACCATAAAATAAAAAACAACATTTGTACAATATTTGACAAGTGAAATAAATATTGACCAATAGGAAATGTATATTCCAAGTCCAAGGATAGCATTAGACTTAACAAGATAATTATCGGGATATTTTTCTGAATATCCCAACACCTCCCTTTTTTTGAAGATCCGGAGTTGATATCCAGATTGTAAAATTTTCTGCGTCCATCCTCCCCCGCGAAATAATGTTGGGTCCTCATAAACCCAAATTACAATTAATTTAACTGCATTTAAACATATTGAACAGGGAATCCAGTAAGACTGACCAGATAGTGAGGATAAACGCCATTCAATTCGAAGTCATCAGAGTTTGAATCTTCTGGAACATTGTCGTCGAATTTTTTAAAATTCTCATTAGTAGATAGTTGATCACTGTGATAATCAGCGTGCAACAAAACTGCACCAGAATCTTGACTATTATTTGATGCATGTGACATATTTTCTCGCAAAACGAGGGGATCTTCTTGTGAGCTGGATACCTCACTGTCTGTACATGTTTCGGGGACAGTGGGATTTGAACCCACGACAGGGCATGTTTCTGAATTGGACATTTCTGGACCACTGGGCGGATCATGAATGGCTGCTGTAATTTGAAATACGATTTGTCGAGGATTCATGGAGGCTGCAATCATTTTCCAGCTCACTGTGCAATTGAGAAATCAACCCATCTACTTCCATCGTATCTCCAAAGCGTGGGTGATTCAGCAGCTGCGTGCGGAATTTGACTAAGAACTCCAAATGTCGTTCAAGTAGCAGCTGTAATCGATCGGATGGGTGAGTCATTTTTTTTTCATCAGCACCAGCAATGAAAATTAGCTGTATGAATAATGACCAATGTCGTTCAAGGATACTGATGACAGTCTGGATACTGATTGGTCGAAATAATTGTACTGAATTTCGTCCAATTATAGACTGACCTTGAAGATCGAGGGTTCAAGAATTCTCTACCCCATCGCCAATTGTTGCAACGTGTCAACGCTGCATTGTTGTGAGATAGGTTCATGCTTGAAATGTTCATTAATTTTAATGGACCGATAGGTCATGGGTTCGAGTCCCGTGGGGCGGGGTCGGGGATGAGCGCTGCTGAGGAGTCCCACACTAGGACGAAACGGCCATTCAATGTTTCCAGGTTTTCCATGGTGATCTAGCTTCAATCGACTCATGAATTCAACTATTAAAATATATATAATTAACTATTTTGAATTAACAATGTACATTCGACTATTTAGGTTACTTTATTAGAAAATATAGTGGTAGTTTTCACAAATCGCTATTTGGATATCATAAATTAATGGCTACGATGTCCTCAATGAACTGTTTCATAATATAGACTGGAATACAAAATTTGATACCCAATTTACAACACTATTTAAATAGAAGGCTTATGAGATTACTTTTCTTGAAGAATGTTCAGAACACTTAGTCATAAGATTATATTAGACAAAGTAAATATCTGTTCAATCATTAGACCAATTTACGTATACAAACATAAAAGTATCAATTAGTCAGTAAAATATTTAATGATAATCAGTAAAAGAAGCTAATCACTGACAATTTACTTTGTTATTATCAACTTCAAGACAGCTCTGTAGATTGTAGGCATAAGTTTATTCTCATGAAATTTATCTGTAACAAATAACCGATCAATCCTTAATTTACATTAAAAAGTACATTTACGTCTGTTTGAATAAGGACAATATGTTTGCGATGCGAAATTAAATAACTTAATCAAATCATGCATGGAATAAAAATACATAAAATTCAATTGAATTTATTATAAATAAAGGTGTCAATTCGTAAAGACTACTTTACAATCTACTCAATAAGAAGCAATCCCGTTCCCTCACGGGTTTATCGATATTTTCCTTCAATAATTGATTTCTGTTATGAGACACAATATGATGAAGTATAATTCTTGTATTCACTGTTGACGAATGTCAGTTTTCGTTATGTTAATCGAAATACTTTTGTTTCTCTACCATGATATCTTAAGATTACCAAGCTTCCCACTAGGTGACCTTGAAACCATTCGACTAGGCATACAAGAACGGAATATTGACAAACAAATAAATCCAAATGATGTCCAATCACAAAAGTGGTTCTGTGAAAAAGTAAGCATAACAGATCCAGTAAGTAAACGGACGTATATATTTACTATTCATCAATGGTTAAGCGTTACTCCAACTTCTAATTTGAAAAAAGACGTTCTAGTGAATTACAGTAAAATAATTGAAGATCCGTATAAGAAAGCATTCAATGAACTAAAAAGTAAGTATCAATGTTATTTGTATATTAAATTTCTGATATTTTAATGGAAAATATGCAGTAGACAATTTGACCTGTTTTATATTTACCCGCTCTTTATTTCAATTTTTTAGTAAAGTGAATATTCTTAGCAAGTTGGAAGTTCTTTTCTTTTCTATCAAACTGTGATCAATCAAAAAATATTGATAATATATAAATTTTCAGAGAGGGATTTGTGGATATTATAGTAATCATCGTATGCTTACTAGTGACAGTCTCCAAGCTGTAGTTCCTGGATTTCTAGTGAGAAACCGTGACCAGTGGAGTTCAACCGGGTCTGTTGTGAGATGGTAACCCACTGAAAGCAATATTACCACCTCTGAATTAACTACTTGTATGAATCCGGTGTCCATCTTGTTGTGTTAATGAGGTATGGCAACTTGGACCGATGCATATATGTGCCTGGTCCTACGTTGTAGCTGACTGACTGATATTCAGATTTTATTTAGATTAGTGGTCTATTAAGTTAGAATGATTAATCTAAAAGTGTTAGGTCTAATATTGTCGTTTGTCAATAATTGCATAACACTAGATTATATGCCAGTTAAACTTTGTAAATCTTTTCCTTAAACTGATCATTGAAAACGTCAAGACTTAATCATATGAAAAACTTAAAAGTATCTGTAACCTAAATGTAAAACACTAAAGAAAAAGTGTTTATTTTCTATGCTAAACATATAGTTTTCCTGTAACTTACTGCTGCTAGTGATTGATCATAAAGTGACAACAGCAGTTCTTTAATATGGTACTTTATCTTATTATGTAATCATTGCAAATTTTATTAACTTTCCAAAATGTTGTAATAGTAAATGGTCAGAAAGTACTATATCAATGGGTTACAACACAAATTTGTAAAAATCATTATTCAAGATGGACATCAAAAAATTCTCTACTTCCATATAAGATCAATATAGTTTATCTAAATAACAAGAAAACAACATACTGAACAATGTTTAATAAATTAGTTGTCTGTGTAATAGACAATTCATTCTAACCTATCTGTTTTCTCAAACAAAATCAATGGATTTGTTTGCAAAAGATATTTTTGTTATTCTGGTCATCTGTTGAACCCAGATTTCGTCTTAATGTTTCACTTAGAAAAAAATTAAGTTACTCATGTAGTTAATTATCATAACTAGTTAAAATAGTCATTTTGTACAACTTTTCTAGTATATAAATTCGAATTAAGCAGGAATAACCATTGTTCGCTCAATAATATGAATTCGTATCGATCTATTAGAAACTTTGTTTTTGCTTTATTCAAATATACGTTTTCTCTTGTGTATAACTAGTATAACTAGTGTAAAGACACAGTTATTCAACAAAAGTAATCATCCTTTTTACTTCGATATTTTACACACTTGAAAGTGAATTTTATTGTCCACATTCAGAAGCTTAACTTTTATATTGACGTGAAATAAAGAATAGAATGAGTAAACAATCTTCACTGAATTAAACTTAAAACACTATTCAAATATAATGAAAACGATGCTTTGTAACAAAATATCACATCGAATAAAACACTAATATAGTTAAAATTAATTGTCTACAATATTTCGTTATTATCATATCATGAGATGTTTAAGATTTCAAAGGGTGCTGAGATTTAGATTTGCTTTTAACTGAGTTATTAATTGCTAATGTCAATAGGATGTCACTTGCGCTACTTATAGGAAGTAAATGACTAAGAAAAATTCATTTCAGCATTAAATAATCTCTGTATTCAGTGAAATGTTGGAATAATCTCAGCAACAGACATTTTATATAAGAGATATTTCATAAGCAGGTTTGTATTTTTCGAGCTAAATTATTTCAGATGAAAAGCTCACTTTCAGAGTTATTTTTGATTTTGTTGTATATATGAATAGTAAAACGCTTGAACTGTACTATTCAGTTTATGAATCACAAAGAGTAATCTTAGAAAAACTTATTTCAAATGTGTTACACAATTCTTATGGGCTCTTTCTGTCGATAATACTGTGATCTACTAAAGGTGCTTACATTCAAACCCTTCATCTGTGTAAATTTTTAGTTATCTGGAATTAATATTAATACATTATTGGTCATACTATTGAACAACTTCCAATATTGTCATTTTAGACAAACAAACTATCATGTATAAAGTTTCCATATATACTGGAACAAAAGGATGTGCAAATACAGATGCCAATATTTTCATCACAATGTTCAGTACCACACCAGGCTTAAACTCTGGACGGATTGCTTTAAAACGAGAAAACAAGAATTTGTTTGACAGGAAACAACTTGACGAATTTTATGTTGAATCTATCGATTTGGGTAGGTAAAACTATGACATTTTATAATTATATAGTAGAACTACATAAATAAGTCCCATCTTCATTGAGTTCATCAGTTCTATAAAATGCTGGGAAAGATCGTATTTCAACTGTGGAAAGTGTAATATTATAACATCATTTGGTTAAATGAACTGATTTATATTGCTACTGCTGATAATATTAGCAGTAGTAATTATGAGCAATATTTGTGCTAAATTGAGTAATCAACTCAAAGAGGCGTTTGTCCTTTAAATTTTAGATGTTCTTTCTGATTTATTAGCCTCAGATACACTGAGTTGAAAGTGATTCTTCTTAAAATTCTATGTGAGCTTTTAGACCAGACGTAATCGATAGCTTACAGGTTTATTAGAAGTTATTTCAAATATACTAGTAAGCGGACCTATTATATATTCCAAGGTTACATAATCTACGTAGTTTATTGAGATTTCACTAGCAAATTTATCAATGTTTATATAACTAGTGTGTTCCCAATTTTTAGCGAACTTTATTTTACTCTTAAATAAATACACTAGTAACAATTCTTTTTGATTTTCCAGAATTTATTCAACGGATTATTATAGAACATGACAACACAGGTGTTAGTCCTGATTGGTATTTAGATAAAGTACTAATCACAAACCAGCTAAACAATCAGATTCATTTATTCCAATGTTATCAGTGGATTTCAAAGAATAAAGGTGATTGTAGATTATGGAAAGAATTACTGGTCTCAAATTAGAATAAATTCATGACATTGAGAATGGAAAACAGTGATAAACTAATTTCATTAACCGAAATTGTTGGTGATCATCATGTTAATTAAAATGACAAATTTTAATTAAAATAATTGCTTTAGTGTATTATTAAGCACACTAACGGGAGTTTTTACTACTCATCACTACTTCACTATTCATCAACCATTACAAAAGCAAAATGTTCGACATTAAGTTTGGTACACAATCATAATGTTCATATATCTATTTTGATATATGTGGTACTTTGAGTATTCGTTTGTTAGATTAGGTACTTGGAATTGGGCACTGAAATTCCAAGTGACAGTTAAGTACATCATCTATCGTCTATTAACTTACCGTAAATAAGAAGTCTTGTAAATCTCGCAATATATCAGTGATCTATTTTCTTAATAACTTTAAACGAATTTGTATAAAAGAGCATTCGGGGAAGGTGACGATCTCTCCCGTCAGACCAACTTAGATAATTCAAAGGCAGCAGCCAGTTTTAAACAATGCAGACAACGTGATAAATGTGAGCCAATACACTATTCCAGGGTTACTACCAGTATAACAAGAGAAAAAATGGATTCATATACTATCAAAGGATCTTCATAATAAACGACTGTCTGAACTCAGAAGATGGTTGCTTTGATTTACCCGCAAACGTCACCTTACTGACCTTCTAATCAGTCTTTCCAACCTAATCATAAAGAAGAACCAACTGCAGTCGTAAAAATTAGAGCACTTTCTGTAAAACTCAGCTATAACTTCATACCAGAGGTCTCATAGACTACTGATAAGTACCACTTTATTTTTAAACTCTTTGGATTTATCTTATTCTAAATCATCTAGGCAACACATCCTCTGAAATGTAGTACATCAATACTTGCTCAGTTGTGTATGCGTCAACAATGCATCGACATGTTGCCTTCGAATATATAGTTCTTTAAAAATGAAATATAATTATTTCTTATACTTTCTCGATAACGTTTAGTAAGTTTATTTGCTCTAACCATGAGGGTTTTAAAGGTAAAAAAGAATTATATTTCAGGCAGAAGCGTAGGTGTAGTTCATAGTCATGTTTTGGAAAAACAGGGTAAACTTCTTTTAAAATAAAGAAGCTGAACCAGACTGCATATTTATGAAATAGTCATCAAACAACAATAAGAAATGCTGAGTGACAGCTGTGATAATGAAGTTAAGGAACTCAGATAACACAAGGCGATTTTGTACAGACCAGATGGGTATATATATTCTAAAACTGATCATAAAATGCTCTCTAATCTAATTTCAAACAACGATGAATAATTGTGTAAAGTACTGGCATTGTTGTGGCCCGATATCTGACTCCAGTTGGATTGTACGAATAATCGTTATCAAAATATATATCCTGACTATTCTCGTACACAGTTATCGACATAATCCGCTTTAGTGTACAACGGAATGGATTTTTGAATACGTATATTTTGTACCGTCATTGATCTGATTAGACAATCAGAGGGACGAAGCAAAAAGAGAGAAAAACGAAATGACACTCAGTGAAGAAGGCATGTAAGCCAAATACATTTAGTCAAGCGCTAATCAATATTTATAGTCACAGAATTATAAGATACAAACATAAGATGAGTAGGATAAAATGTGCACACATATACGCTCATATAAAAAGTCAGAGTTGATAAGTGAATAATTAACAAGGTCAAAACGTCACTCAAGAAGAATGAATAAATTGGTCAGTCCAGAATCTAGAAGGATGATCTGCTAGTGCATAAAGTACTTGTACGTTAAATATATAACTAAATATAGCACACAGGCAAACAAACAATTTATTTGAACGAGTTAGAATGCTTTTAATCGTTCAGAATCCATACAACAATTAATGCGTACAATAAGTAAAATTTCAACACAATGCAACACTAACCTACTACAGACTACTTGATCGACGTAGTCTTACGTCGAAATATCACTTGCGACGGTTGGTATTTGATATCATTCTTAAGCTTTGTAAAATTCTCGTCTTGATAACCGTTACTAGATAACGCTCAATGGTGCACAGATCAGAAAAAGTATCCAAAGTGTTGATTACGTTTATTATCGCACCACACAGACCACCGAAACCACAGGCACACGTGGCAAGAATGAAATGCGAGTGCCGAAGAGCAGGCGAGCGAGTGATTTCATGAAGGAGCATTACTTGCCGCCTGCACACATTTTCATTCCGCTAGCTTTAGTGTTAGTAGCTTAAATGGTTGGAATATAATAAATGAGTTAAAACTTTCGATGCTCACATACAAAATAAAGGGGAATAAACTCATGCGAATAGGTAAAAGAAGTCTTTATTTCAAAATCGTAGCTATGTATCGTGTCGGCCATCTAACTCTTCAACCATATCATGTCATTACTGGACTCCCTTCGTTTTTCTCCGTCGACGTCGTTGACGATTTGAACTCACGTTTCCGTGAGTTGCCGGTGTAATCTCTCTGCTACATAATTCGCTATTAAATGGTAGGAAAGTGGTTCCCATGTACTATTTACTAACTGTTGCAGTACGGCTCCCACTGCTATGTTCGACGCGTCCGCCTTGACGGCTGGTGGCGCTTCGCTCTTTCGTCGTACTAACATCATCTTCTCATCTAGCACTCGCTTGACGTACTCAAACGCCTGCATAACCTCTGTTGATAGACGGAATGTTCGGACATGCCCTCGCAGAGCGTCCGTCAATGGTTTCAATATCGTTGCGCAGTTTGAAATAAATCGTCTATAATAGTTCATTAGTCCTAAGAATCATCGTAATTTTCTTTGTGACTTGGGTAACGGATAATCACGAATATCAACAACTGTAGTCGGAATTGGTGTGATACCTTGAGAATCTATCGTATGACCCAAGAATTGAAATGATTCTTTTCCAAGTTCACACTTCTCCACCTTAATAGTCACGTCATATTCTTGAAGTTTCATAAACAACTGTCGTATATTTTGTAGATGTCCTTCTATGGTAGCACCAGCCACTAGCATGTCATCGATATGTCAAACCCATAACTACCTGATCAGTGAGTCGCTGGAAGGCTTGAGCTGTATAAGTTAGTTGAAGGAAATCCGCGAAAATTCAAGTAACCCGGACTGAGTGATTACAGCCGTTTTCGGTACATTTAGCGTCACGAGAACATGGTAATAAGCCTTAACAAGATCAATCTTTGACAAGATCGTGGCGGCTTCCACTTCGATAATGATGTCGTGGATGTGTGGCACCGGATATCTATCTACCACAGTTTGCTTTATAAGAGCTCTATAATCTCCACATTGCCTGATTTCTTTGTTCTTTTTGGGAACCATATGCAGCAGGGATGCTCAAGTACTGTTAGATGGCCTTATAATACCAAGTTTCATCAATATTTAACATTTTTGGGTCTAACCTTATTGATCTTGAGTTATTTGATGGACCATTCGTTACAATGTGGTGCTACACAATATGTTTAAGATCACTGCTATCGTACGACATACTCGTCAAATCGGCGTACTCATTTAGAAGAGACTTATATGGATCACTTTTGTCTTTGAACACGACTAAATTCATAGATACGTGGTCAGTGATCACCCCTTTTATCATTACAGAATTACCTATATTCAAGGGTCGGTTTCGTCGGGGATCTACTAATAAGTCGAAATTCTTTAAGAAATCAATACCAATTATAGTCACGGATACATTTGCGATGACGAATTCTCAGCAAAATGAAGGGCTAATTTTCACTTCCCATATGTTTTTATGTCGGATTTATTTTCTGCTTTAGGCATTAGTGTCATATTGATATTTCGTCTCTCCTTGCTCATCAGAGGCACAACGACGAATGGCTCCGTCTGCTAAATACGTTAATAAAAGGGCTTAATGTGGTGTTTGAACGAACCAATGATACCTTTGCACTTGTTGAATGCTCGATTTGGAATTCCAAATACAATACATTTGTTTGTGCTTGTGTCGTAATTCTTGATTCAATTGCGTTATTTCTGGGACTCTTAGTTTGCACTAAAATTCAAATACTTTCAAATATTATACTTAATGAAATTAAATGTGAATAAAATCAAATGTGTGTGAGCTGCTACAGCCTGCGCAGTAGTTATCCAACCTTGAATATCCTAACCTGTTTGTCAGACATCCGGGTTTCATAGGACGCTTAAACATTAATAATATTTTGTCGGTATAATGGAGCATGTGTGGCCAGACGAACTAGAAAAAATAATTTACAACGACTGTCTTTAACTGAGCTTCTTCCCGATTTCTTCCTTCACTAGTATCTGGTTTGTTCTCTCCCACAGTAGATTGTTACTGCCTGGCCAGCGGATCCGAAGTATTTTGCGTAGGCAACTGTTAATAAGCACTTGCATCTTCTGGGTTATAGCTAGTGTAGTCCTCCGAGTTTCCGCCCCGTACAGTCGAACTGTCTTGACATTCGTATTGAAAACCCTGACCTTTGAGTTCCAGATGTTCCACAGTTGTAAATATGCTGCTCTTGCTTCGCCGATCCGCGCCTTCACATCTGCATCAGGTCCACGGTGTTCATCAATGATGCTGCCCAGATATGTAAAGGTTTTTACATCTTCAAAAGCTTCTTCATTAAGTGTGATTCGATTGTTGCGTGCTGTGCTGTATCGGAGAATCTTGCTTTTTCCTTTGTGTGTGTTGAGACCTACTGCTGTCGAGGCTGCTGCTACACTGGTCGTCTTATCCTGCATTTTTTGTTTCGTTTGCGATAGAAGAGCCAGATCGCCTGAGGAGTCTAGATCGTTTAGCTGCATCCTAGCTGGCTACTGTATCCCATGCTTCTCCACAGCTGTTGACGTCTTCATGATCCAGTCGATCACCAGGAGAAAGGGAAATGGTGAGGGTAAACAACCTTGCCTAACACCGGTCTCCACTTCGAACGACTTTGTCAACTGTCCTCCATGCACGATTTTGCAGTGTAATCCATCGTAGGAATTCCGTATGATGCTGACTATCTTCTCAAACACATTATGGTGTCGAAGAAGCCTCCATGGTGTCTTCCTGTCTACGCTGTCAAATGCTTTTTCTTAGTCAATGAAATTGATGTAGAGTGATGAATCGCATTCAATTGATTATTCCACAATGAACCGTGGAGTT